AGAAAGCAGTGCATGCAGATGAAATATTATCTTGGCCAACAAACAGAATAAAAGAAAGCAATCTGGACTACTGCAAAATTGGTAGCAGTTTTAAGCATTTGAAAGACAAATGACATCGGAGAAAAGACTGGGTTAACAAGGGAGCACTTTAGGAAAGTCTAATCTCCGCTGGCATGCTGACTGGGAGGGTCAGCCCAGTGCACGCGTTCTCAGCTGGAGTCAGGCTCCCTCTGCCTGGCCAATTGTCCTATGCACTTCAGATACCAACCAAATTGAAGGTGCCTTCACTCTGTCAGCACCTTATATTCTACCAGCTTAAAGACAGCTTCCTTTTCCTTGTCAATTTTTGCAGCGTTTCTACAGAGTAAATGCTACAAAGGAGAAAGGTAGTGTTGTCAGACCTTTTTTTTTCCTTTCTGAGCAGCAAAAGGCACTTTAGGAAGCATTCTAAAGAGTTATTTTTAGCACTGCATGTATTCTCAAAAACGAAGACTGACATTCCTAAATACATTTTTAATCCAATTTTTTTCTCAAAGAAACTATCTTTGACTTGACACACTATGTTTTGAAATTTAAAGCAAACCTCTCAAAAACTGGTCAACGTGAACTTTATATAGTTTACTACTTCAGTTTTCATTTACCTCTAATTTATCTACAGATACATTTTACCTTTACAAGCATACTATAGCCATGAGTAGAGAGGAAATACTTGATTTCCTTTTCAAAAGAGAAATTTAGCACTAAATTCTAAATCCAGAACCTGGATTCGCCCTCATCCTCAATCAGGACAAGACTCAAATTATTAACTGAAAACGCATGATAATCATTTAATTTAAGGCACAAAAACGGCTTATAAAGTTTGTACCTATGTAAACAAGTACTTTCTAAAAAAGACACAAATATTTCATGAAATACCTAACTTCTAAATGTTGCCAAAGGATCTGGAAGATGTAAGAGACTTTATAAATCTCACTTCTTCATAAGAAGATGTCTTGCTATTTGATCTCTTTAAAAATACATAGTCATTCCCAAGATACCTTAGGTGAAGATACAAGACCTGAGTTTGACTGTGAGATCAGAATGACTAAAATGCAAATTTATCCCAAAGGGTTGGGTTTAATTTTGACACAGAAATTTCTATCTTTCTGATTTCAGAAGCATCATTAATTTTTGGGAACATACTTCTTAACCTTCAGAAAAGTAATTTTTTCTGCCAATTTCTTTATTTTTATGTTTAGTAGTCTTAAACACTTGCATATACGCTACAGAGCGTGCTCTACAGGGCTATTCATCAACAAACAAAATATTATGGCAATGAATGAAGCAGAAGGTCAAAACTTACTTAAACACTAACATGTTAGGAACCTTATAATATGCACTGATTTCTTCTCCATAGGTTCTACTATAATAATATTAATGCTATCAAAGTTTCGAAAAATAATTTTTCTTAGTAATTTTTATGAACAATTTATGAACAATTATATGAACCATAATTCCCCAAGCGTTACTATACATATTTACAATGTACTCAAATCTGAACTTTTAAAGTCAACTATAATGTAAAATGCAAATCCTGCAATATTTATACATGTATGCGTGCATGTCTATGTCAACCTAAGACAGTAACATTATGCAAACATTCTGCTCATCGTTTACGCATTTTGATCACAAATACAGCATCCGAATGGTTAAACGGCCCTGGCATTTATAATAAATTTAGTTTTCTGTGCTATCCAGGCCCTTAACAGAGAACTTCAAAATCTTTAAGACCTGTCTTTCTTCCATATTGTCATCACATGAGATACTTTTCATACTAAATAGTCTTGAACAGGAGTTGTCAGATTTTACACGATTTTTAATGAGTAATTAAGTAAGATGAGCTTGTGGTTAAACAACAGAGTTAGGATAAGGCATTTTGTCTTTAATTAATGGCTTTGCAATAAACTTTAACTTTGAGCAAGCCCTTCTTTGCCTCAGTTTTCCACATCACAGCAAATGGTAACAATACTTCACTAACTCATGGGTTTGGCTTCAGAATTCTTCTTCTTTTCACTGTGTACTGATAGGAAAGCAACCTGTTCTTAATTTGAAACAGAGACTCAGTGCTGCCCTTCATCAGCACATGGAATTCTCATTTATGTCAACAGGAGCTGCATTAAATACAGTGAGCCTAAAAGTAAATTAATGTACTTAGCCTAAAAGTAAATGAAAAAAAAAGGAATGGAAAGAAACTCATGGTTTCTCCTTGCCTACTCTTAAAAAATCTAACAGTTTATTGCACTAAACACAAAACCATAAATAAAAATATTTTTGATGGAAGGCAAGAATTGGAGCCTGGGATAAATGAGAATGGAGAAAAGTGTAGCAGGTCCATCTGTAGAGTACATTTAGCTCTGCTGCAAGAGCACCATCATAAAAAAATGGTTGCACATGCAAAATTCACTCACCATAATATATCATGCTCTGTACACATTTGTCTCAACATAAAACAAAACTTAACGGCCTCAGCATTTCAACTTCTCACACAATTTCCACTGCACACCAAGAAAACTTCTACTTTCTTCTCCTATGCAAGTGTTCAGCTAAAATAAAAATGTCACAAATTTAGGAAAAAAACCCTTTAAAAGCTCAAAATTAACACAAGGTTGGTTTTGGTCAGATATGTCTACGATGCAAGAAGAGAATCTACTAGAGAAGATTTTTTTTTTCTGGAGAGAGATTAAATGTGAATACACAGTTTTAACCTTCTACTTTGACCTTAAGTAAAAATTGTCACAGCACAAAAAGACAATTCTGGGTCTTTTTTGGGAAAAAAACCCCCAAACAAATAGAAAAGAAAATAATCAAGGAGTAGCTAGTTGGTCACTGCCAAGCTCAGGGAGGCAAACATCCCTATAACAAGCAGGCACATTTTAAAATTTGCCATTGCTTAGCCATCTACAGATAATGAGACTCGACAGTTCTTTATGGAAGGCAAGCAGGAGCTACAATTCTCCATAATTAGGCAATAATTAATCAATCCAATGATAGCAGCCTTGTAAATTTGGAAAACAGCAAGTGTAGCTGCCTATATTTATGGTCTTTTATACTGTTATACTGCCTGTATGCAGTCTCGGTCATTTAAAGGTCTGCCTGTCCAAGTGATGTTTTTTCACTTCAGTGTGTCTGTTACTGAACAGCAGAGAATTCTTGACTGGAGAAAGACATTCCTTCTGAGGGACAGGAGAATTTAAAAATAAAAGTGCAGACTAGATTACAATCCTACCAAGAAGAAAATTACCAGAGCATAAGAACCACAGTAGAAGACAGTAACAGTGGCATGACATCATCATGCGTATGTTCTCTTTTTCTTCATAAAATAATCAAACAGTGAGTTCTCTCATGCTTTTCCAGCTTTAGCATTCTTCCAAGCAACAAAGAATTTAGGGCCTCTACTTCTTGACACAGGATATGTACATCTGAAGTCTGACTTCATACCTTCACCTTTTTGCTTATGGCTTTCCAAAGCACCAGAAAACATTGTATCTTATGCATACCCGAAATCCTGACCTGCTATTTTTTGAACCAGTGGCAGACTTTGTATGTCTCTTAAAGGTTGTATCTTTATTATGCATAGCCAAAGTTCTCCTCTACTTTAACTGGTTGTTCAGTAACGCTGACTCCTGCCTCTTAACATTACTAACAGCTTTGACTATGAAACATTTATGAAAAAATAAGCTAAAACTGATCTTAAGACAAGTTTCAGAACAGTATTTACATGCATATTTAGAAAAGTCTTTCAGCTCCACATCCTCTTCATAAATTGATGCTACTTCCACTAAATCAAGCTTTCCCCTAACATATACTTACTACTTAGATTTTACTGGTTGCACTTAATTTCTACCTTGTGTATGTTGGCACGTTTGTACTTCTCTTAGCCATTTCTAATTTACTTTATTTTTTCAGATGCAACATGTATTTTATGTCTTTTGAAGTGTGGTATTAACAGAGAAGCGAGTTCAGAATGATTTAGTACCCCAAACACACAGTGCTGTGAAAGCATCTTCACACTGACTATAGCAGCAAGCAAGTCATCAGCATGTCAAAATAGAGATGGACAAACACACTTAGAAACAGACATACTTTATGCTGAATATGAAGGATATTACATTAACAACCTACTGGTCATGCAACCATAAAAAACTATAGAATAATCAAGGAGGGCACTGAAGGAACACTTCCAATGCACCAACACTTTTAACACATGAAACCAAGATAAGGTAAACGACGACCACTGAGCCAAAAATAAGGAAACAGAGAAAGTTTTACCACAGTTTTGGGTGGGTTTGGTGGTTTTTTTGTTTGTTTGTTTGTGTTTTTTCTGTTAATAGAAATTTTCTCCGTTTTCGCCGGCTCTTTCCCTACGCTGTAACTCAGAGCGCCTGAGACGCAGCGGAGTTTCCAAGTAGCCCGGCCCGATGGGGATGCCCCGCCAGGCGGACACTGCGAGGCGCCGGGGGACTCCGGCGGTGCTGGGTGCACCGGCCCGTGTCCGGATCGTGACACAGGCACCTGTGTCAGGACACAGACACTCCAGTCCCCGAGCGCTGCCGCCTCCTGGGAGCGCGACTGATTTACTGCCTTTCCTCCACCCGAGGGGAGATCTGTTAACGATTAAATCAGCAGCGACCGCACATCAAAGCCTTGTCCCCGGAAGCAAAGGTGAAGATTAACGTCCCTGCGGATCGCACTGAGTTTCTGCTCTTGCAATCCCCTTTAACTACCCCCCAAACAGCACATCACACAGCGACCCTGCCGGCGCCGGACCGGGCACCGCGATGGCCAGGCACCTATAAACGCTTTACAACCCGCCTGCTAATTAAATAGCGATTAGAAACGTATTTGAAGTTGGGTGTTCTCTGCGGGCAGCGGCACTGCACCGACCCTGCGAGCCCCCTGTCAGCGCCGGGGTCGGCCCGAGCCCTCCCGCCGGTGCCCCCTCCCCGCCCGCCCGCACTCACAGGTAGGAGGTGAAGAGGCTGAGGTTGGCGGGCACGGCGGTGAGCCCGCGGTCGGAGCAGTCGGCGCGGAGCAGCACGCCGTCCTGCTCGCAGCGGCACGGAGCGGGGCAGCCTCGCGGGCGCTGCCCGCCGACCCGCGCCCCTCGCCGCAGCGCCGGCAGGCAGAGCAGGAGCAGAAGGAGGAAGGCTCGGGCAGCGTGGGACGTCGCCATGGGGCCCCGGGGGTACCTAGAGCCGCGGGGCGGCCGCTTTCATGCCCCGCGGCACGGCGGGGGCGAAAGTCGGGCGCCCGTCTGGGCTCGAGGAGCTCCTGCGGCCGCCGCCGCCGCCGCGCTGCTGTCTGTGGTAGCATCTCAGCTTACACGCTGCTTTAAAGCCCTGGAGCCGGCACCGCGCGCCCGCTGACGCCGCCCCAGCCTTGCCCGCCGCAGCGCGCCGGGCCCTGCCCGCGCCGCCGTGCGAGCTGGCGGGCGGGGGCGGCCGCGGGCCCGCCGGGCAGGAGGGAAGGAGGCGGGGGGGAACCCTTTTCTGCCGGCCTGCCCTCCGTGCGAGCGGCCACAACGCCTCGGGGCTCGCCTCAGGGCGGTGATCTCACAGAATCACAGAATAGGTCGGGTTGGAAGGGATCACTGTGTCATCTGGTCCAACCTCCCTGCTGAAGCAGAGTAGTCCTAGAGCACGTGGCACAGGATTGCGTCCAGACCGTTCTGGAATATCTCTGGTGAAGGAGTCTCCACAACCGCTCTGGGCAATCTGTTGTAGTGTATGATCACCCGCTCTACTCATATTCAGGGGAAACTTCCTGTGCATGATACAATCATAGAATCATAGAATATGCTGAGTTGGAAGGGACTTATCAGGATCATACAACTTCTGGCCCTGCACAGGACACCCCAAGAATCTTACCATGTGCCTGAGAGCGTTGTCCAGTTTCTACCCATTGCCTCATGTCTAGTGGTTGGCACCACCAAGAAAAGCCTGACTCTATCTTCTTGGCATCTCCCTCACCCTTTAGATATTTATATACATTAGTGAGATCCCCTCTCAGTTGTGTCTTCTTGAGGGGGAATCTCCCCTGAGGGCAGGGGAGATGTTTCAGTGGATGTTTCAAGAAGGTGGGAGAACGGGCAGCTGTGGAGGTGGGGGTATGGTTCCAAGGCAGCGGAGTTAGGAGTGTGTCTCTGGGTTGGTGGGACAAAGCCTTGGGTGTTCCCGTGGGCTGGAAGAGAGGTTGAACTTGTAAGGCCTTATTTAGTCAGTCAGTGCAGACCCAGCTGCAGACTGAGCCATGGTCCTGGTCAACAATGGGAATCCACTCATTTGCCTCATGACCACTCAGTTAAATCTTCATGCTTACCAACATGCAACAATTTTCTAAAGGAAAAGCTGTCGAGGGAAACTGAGTTCTCAGTGAGGCTGCCACTGAAAGTTCTTGAGCTGTCCCTCAGCTTCTTGCCAGAGGTTTCTACTCCTCAGGTAGTGGCCTTTGTGCTAGGCTTCTGTGACTGAGTATGCCAAAGTCATTAGTGAAGGAAAGTAAGAATGGCATTTTCTTTAAAGCTTTTTTTTCCTCCAAGTCAGTTTTCAGCGTGAACAAAGTTGACCACAAAGTCCATATTTGAGACTAGCTACCAGTTTAAGAACCCAGTCCCAGCCCAATTCTTGTTTAGACTGGTGACTAAATTGTTGGTCAGGCTACTCAGTATGCGTTGGAGAGCATTAGTTAAAAGTATTCTGCTACACTGTCTTTGAATCAACAATTAAGTCTGAAATGAGAGCCTAATGAAAAGGCCAGCAAAAGACATTCTACTCAGTTTATAATACCCATTCTCGCCTCTAGACTGTCATTTGTTATAATCTGAACTGTAGAAGGATCTTGTACTGGAGTTCAAGTGCTTTATTTAAAATAATAAAAAAGGAATCTGCTGTCTGGCTGGTTAGACAAGCCAGAATGTTTTGTAAATCTAGGCCTATGAGGCAGCCTGGAAGCTTTTCCCCAAGCATCACCTTATCCTAAGCTCATAACAACAATGGTTAAAAGCATAGAATTTTCGTGAGAAAGGCCTGAGCAGAAAAATTCTGCAGGAAGTGGATTTTTCATTCTGTCCTGTCATATGTGTCCAGGAAACCTGTTACCCCAAAACCTCTGACTGTCCTTTGCTCATGTCTAATATCTCTGCAAAGCAACCATACTTTTGTTACTGAATTTAGTAGATTTAAAAGAGTTTCTCACTGTGCTGAATAGGTACATGGTAATGGTTCAATAAATTGAGAAAAGTTTACTTTCTTCTAGGACAAACTAGTTTCTATTAGACATCTGTACTGTATGATATTTTAGTCCTCGAGGTGCCAAAAGACTTTGGAATAGTTGTGCTCAACAAATAAGTAAATATTTTTTGTGAATGTGGTAAAATAGTATTTATATAATCTGAGGCTTTTGCACACTTCTTTTGTTTGTTCTAGAAAGCAAAGAGTATACTGTTTCTTCATCTTCTGTTGAGGATTTATTAGCTTGCACAATATATCTGAAGTTAGACAGGCATAGATTAATTAGTAGTGAGGGTTCCACTGTAAAAATCCTCCTTTGAATGTTGTTTATTTTGCATTAATACACTTGTTTTAGTGACTTTCTTTAAAACATTTAATGTACTTTTCTACAATTTTACTGAAAGATTTTTTGAAAGAAAAGTATCTTGAAGATTAAAAGAAGGATTTGATAGGAGCGGATATGGATAATCCCTGCCTTTGTGCATTTAAATTAGGCTGTACAGTTATTTCCTTTTTGTGTTTCTCATAGGTCTCTGGTTCTCCATAAAGGGAAAAGGAAAAACATCTGTCAGTTTGGTAACATCTCTGGGAGATGCTGTTACTGTTACAAAAGGGCATTGGGACTGTTAAAATTTCCTACAGGTTCCAACATCTCACCATAATGTCCCAGTCATTTGGAGTGACACCCATGGTACAGCCATCAGTGGTCTTCGGTTTTTATCATGGCAATAAACAAATCCCTTAGGGATCTCAGCAGATTGCTGTATTGAATCTGTCTTTCTGATACTTGAGCAAAAACTGTTGTCTTTTGAATATGATGTATGATGTGACGATGCTCCATCCTAAGGTTTATCGGTATAAAGGATATCTTTATGGAATGTTATGTACAAATAAGCAAAATGATATGTTGTGTTATGTATTGTTAGCACACAAAAAGCATAACAGTTCATATTTCAAGAATGCACAACATGTATATATATATGTATTTTTATATAATGTGTGTATATGTATTTAACACGAATCTTTTAGATTGTTACTTACAGCATGACAGAGTTTAGAGTTTATGTGAAAATTGGTTTTAAAATATAGGACTATAAAAAGAAAACTGGGTATCTAAAATATTCACTGCTATATAGGTTTTGTAAACTTAAACTGGATAAAATTACTTTAAAAAAGAGTGTGGCTAAAACATTTGACAATGGAAAATTATGCTTAATCCTAAAATGATCAGTTGTCCCAGCTAAAATGGAGTTCAAAGCAGAAATGTTGACAGATCAACACTAACAAAGGTAGCAGCTATTTTTTAAATATGAAGGCAAATCCAATACAGAGACAAAATAAAAAGCACTGCAGCAAAGGACAAGGTAATTTCCAGTTGACTGTAGAATGTTTTTTCCTTTCCTGCCTATGGGTGACGGGTAGGTTCTCAGAAGGCAGTAAGTGCAACTGTGTGTTTAGACTGTGGAGAAAATAAATCTCTTGTGTGGAGTGGGATTTCTTTTTCTGCCTACTGGGATAAGAAATTCTTCACTGCATGTGTTGTAGCCATTACACTGAAAGGGTTTAGTAGGCATGTGTGCAGCTCCACAGCCCTTAGGCTGTTCTACTGTAGAGCAGTACAGCAACTGCTCAGGGATCTGAGCAGAAGGATCCTTTCCTCCTCACAGAACACCTGATTTGTCCTTTTAGTTCAGCTAGCCTTGAAGAATGGTGCATGTCTTTTAAGGTTTATCACTATATAGACTTTTTACACTTACAGCAGAAGGCTATTTATATGCTGTGTTCATTTGATTCCATATTTTCCTATCAGTGTGTGTTCACGGTCATTTGCATCATGTTAACTATCATGTTTAGCTGAGGATCTTAAACATGTACATATATCTATATCCCTTAATTGAGCCACACAATGTTCTTCAGACCAAGGCAGATTACACTGTTTCTGTTTTACATAGTGGTAAAAGCTGGTACACAAAATATAGGATGGTTAGGGCAGAGTCTCTCCTTGAAACAGAATGAAATACAGGACTTTTAATTGCTGTGGCTCAATTTACCGCCTGTCTACAGCTTTTCAATCACAATAATATTATGGGTGATTTAATTTTTTTATTATGGATTGTTTTTGTTTAGGATTTCATGCTATTTAAGGCATGCTATGTCACACATCTTTAGAAATCAACTTTTTATGTTGATTCTTTAGTTTGGCACGCTGCCACCTAGCTGCACATTTCCCCTAGCAGTTCTGTAGTCAGTGTGATGATAGGACAGAGGTGAAACATTTGCCAGCTAAGATTTATTTGGATTCACTTGAAATATGCTTCAATAGTTAAGTTTCTGATAGGAAGAAGGGACAAAAATAGAAAACAAGTATTATTACAGCTACAATTCATACAGTGACAGTTGACTTATGTATATAACGTTGAAGCAGATACTGTCATGAACACTATTTTTAGTCTGAAAATATCTGATAGTAAAGCTTGCAACATTAGTGGGAAAACGAGGATTACCCAGGCACATTTTAATAGCTAGAAATTTGGGAAAAGAAACAAGGGAAAAATGTAAATACATAGGATGCAGATTTACTGAATGTTTGTTTGGAGGGAATGAAAGCTGATTGTTGTAGTAATTCTCTGCTTAGGAAATAAAATCTGCGTGTTAGAGTGAAGATGTGGAAATAAGGTATATGAAGAGAACCTTCTATTATTTTGGGTTGAAGTAGATGTGACATCATTTGGAGAATTTGCAGCCAGGCTGCAAAAGCATTAAGTGGGTATTTCACCAGCACAGAAACTATGTGGTTTAAACAATACTTTAAATGATGCTTTTTATCTCTAACATTTACTGGTCTGTTACCTTATCATTGTATATCTCATGTAGAACCAGAAGAAGAAAGAGGAGAATGTAAGCGATACATGAAGAATGGTAAGGCATTAAATGAGGAGCAATA